TCCTGGACACCTTTGAAATATCTTGCCTACCCATCTACTTGGCCTGTGGCGCTTCCATAACTAACTGAATTTCATAAGGCAAGTAATTTCAGAAATGTCATTGTTAGAGAGGGCAGTGCTATAAATAAAAATAAAATTTGTTGGTATTTTAGTTACTTCCTCTCTTCTGAGAGATTTTTTAACGGGCCATTAATGAGTTCCTCAATAACATCCACTTGCATATACTAAATGAGAGTCTCACAAATAGGCTTTAAATGCTATCACTGTTCAGGGTAGTTCATGTGTATACAGGTCTTTAAGCTTCTATATTACTCATCTTTGGAAGATCTCAAAATCTTATACAGACATGAATTAAGCTTTACTTTGCCTGTGCAAAGCATGAAAGTATATGCAGTGAAGTAAAATGAGATATGGGGAACTTCAGGGACTTGCTGAAAGTAATCCTGTAGTCAGTGTTAGAACAGAAGCAACACACACACTGACTCAGTTCCCCTTCTTCTGTCTGCCTTTCAGAACTGATATGCCAACTGTGCGCGGGAAACTTTATATTTCAAAATAAACAATCTATTGCATGGATACCTTTTGGAGAATTATATTCCTTATGGAGGCAACTTATCCCACCTTCCTACTCTAGAAAAGGCTGTGTTTTCTTATACAGCATGTGGGCTAGCCACTATTACAGAGAAGACCCTGGATTAGATGGACCAGAAATCTGACTCAGTACAGCAATCAATTCCCATGTTTCTATTCCCACCCAAAGGACCCCCCTCAGTCTCAGCCGCAGCATAAATTCTTCACTTCCTCTCCTAAAATCAGTCATGTTGTATTGCTGGAACAACAGCTGGCACATTCCACCACAGAGATACTTGCAATCAAGTGACAAGGATGGTATCCTCATCTTCTATTCCATACACCACCAATAATTATGAAGAATGCTACATTCTTTGAGACAGTAATCATAATTATATTGTTTCTTTTATTACTAACTTAAAAATTTGCAGAAAGCACAATCTGTATGTCAGTAATGAGGTTGGCCATACACAAACATTGATAAGTCAAGTAGAACAAATCTTCTTGTAAGCTTTTCACATAGTAAAGATACAGGACTGACTTCTAATTTGTATAAAGCAGAACTAAATCCCACTGAATAACTTACTAAAACTGTTCCTTATTCAAATGCATTAGCTCTACCAGCATTTTAGATAATTAGTATTTACTCACTAGATAACCTATACTTCTAAAAGATACTTAAAACTAGGAGCTTCTGATTAAAAATAAAAGTTCCAAAGACCTCAATCTTGGGACATTTCAGGGTAAGTGTGTACTGTATTATATTAGACTCCACTGAGATCCATCCTTCTGTAATAGTAGAAAGCTCTTACCGCTAGCCATGAAATACAGACCTTAAGACCTGCCACAGAAGGCAGGACTGAGGTAAACGGAGCATGTTTTTGCACCCTGGGCTGTGGCCGTGGCTACCTTGAGTTGGCACGAGGGTCTGGTACCCTAATTCCCCATCCCTAACTATGCTGCTGCCAAAGCTAGATTTTTGGATGTCCCCCATGCTTTGATCCAGATAATTTATTATTGTTTTTATTATTTTGAGACATAACAACACAGGGAAAAGGTGAACCGTTTTTGTTGCTCAATGATTTTGAACGAGCAGCATCACTCTGAAGTTGCTATCAACAGCTACTCCAATGAAGATCTGAATTTAGGTGACAGACAGAAATTGGTGTAATAAAGGAACTGTCCCTTTCAGAGACATTAGGCATAAACAGAGGTGTAACAGGCAGTTTTTGTGCCCAGCACAGTGCCAGGAGTGTAGCTAGGACGGCAGCTGTGGTGGCTGTCAATCTTGTGCCCCATTTAAGTCAGCATCCAGGGCTTGATCCCCACTCACCCACCCTTAGTTACACTACTGAACATAAGGAAAAATTCTGTTAAGCATAGACCCAGAAAAGTTCCCAGAACATAGCAAAAAGCAAACTTGCAGTGGCAAGCTGCCCAGCAGCTGCTACACCTTTCTGTGTATGTACACATTGAAGTAAGAGTGAATAAAGAAAAGAATGAAGGTTTCTGAGCATGTACATCTGTATATATCTTCTGCATTTGTTTAGAAATATCTAGCTTGATTCTAAAAGGGCTGAATGACCAAAATAACTTTTACTTTATTCTGAAACCCTGAGACAGTAGCCTTCTGGATAGGAAGTAATAGTCTATCTGTAGTCAGCATATAATTATAGTGTGATTCACAAGACACTACCAGGAAGCTCTCATTTTTCTGGCATAAACATTTTATTGAAGTAAAAAAAAGTAAACATACATAACACAACTGAAGAAACAAAGTTTCCTGAGTCACCAGTACTGCACATTGTAAAGGAGAAGTTGCCCCACAGGTGTCCCCCATTCCATTTACAAGAGTGCAGAACATCCACACTGACTGCTGTGTGAAAAGTATATTAATCAATTGAAAAGGAATTAGGGAAAAAACAATTTACTTCTGTCTTCAATGTGATGCATTTTGCCAAAGTAGGCTGCTTTTACCCATTTCCAGCTAATACAGGCATTGTGCAAGAAGCAGGATTTACTGGGCCAGATATATAGATGTGCACTGGGCTGCAAAATGCCTTTCCTCAGGTTTGTGAAGTATTCACAGTCTTTTCAAACTCTGCACACTCTACTGGTACTCACATGCTTTCCAAAGAAGTGCCAAAAGACAAAAAGCAACCTGTGACCAGAGCTCACCCACTACTCATCATTAACTGTCTTCATGCAACAGCTTGAGAACTTCTGCAAAAGCAATATTCACACTTACTCTAACGGGGGCGGGGAAATATCCCCCAAATTAAGATCACGTACCTAGACTAAATAGGCCTGGAGATTTCCTGTATGTTCCTGTCTTTTCCTTTGCTCAAAGAGAGAGAACCCACTACAACAGGGGTGGGCAATTATTTCAGGCAGAGAGCCGCTTACTGAGTTTTGGCAAGCCATCAAGGGCCGCATGACTGGCAGCCCAAGGCAGATAAATATTAATTTTCTAGATTTTTTTAGGGGCCCTGCAGGCCAGATAGAATGGCCTGGTGGGCCGCATCCGGCCCGTAGGCTGCAGTTTGCCCACCCCTGCACTACAACCTCTCCCCTAGAGAGAGCAAGCAAGCGTTGGCAACGTTTTCGGGCAGAGTTCCAAAAATACTCAAAACCTCGACTTGTACGGTGTTTGTGTGCCAGTGGCAGATGGCAGGGGAGCCACGAGAGGCCCAATCCTTGTTGTGGCAGCGCAGCCCCAGCCCTTCCCCACCATCCACCCTGAGGCTTTCATGCAAAGCAAAATGCCTGTGCACACCACATTCTGGCACCTGTGCTGAGGGTTACCTACCCCTGGTTTCGAAAGAGACACAGCAAAAAATTTAAATCAGTTGCGTTTTTGCCCATTTACTGCTAATTTTACCTGTAATTTCTGCTATCCTGTTCTGTACTTTTTAGACAATACAACAACATTTACAACAGACATTATCTCTATTAAAATATAAAGAAAATGGCATGTTTCATACAAAAATAGTGTATCAGGAAAAGTGTTAAAAAACATTTTTTATTGGTGAGAAAATGGCACCCTGCTCATAGGAAATGGCACTTGTTTCATAGGAAATAAGTGAATGGAGCTTAGTTTGTTTATTTAAAAGGTATTACCAAAACTCTGTGGCGAATGGTGTAACTTTTAAGGAGGTGAAAATTTTGGCAGACTGTACTAACTTTGACAGTATCCTTTTAGCTTTCTTCACTGTTAATCATGTACTGTACAAAGCAAATTAGAAAATATTGGAAATGTATCTGCTATTACAAAATTACTTCAAAAGTACTTGATACTTACCTCAATTATTTCACCTGGATTTATGAATCAGTAAAACAGATTTTACTTCCCTTATTAAGCTTATCTTTTCCTGAGTGTCTTGTAATGTTTCCTTTTCTTCTTCCCCTTTCCCAAACTAAGTTGTATTTGTTTTGAGTTCTAACTCCGTTGAATACAGCTGATATTATTTTTTCTGCATAAATTCTGAATGACTAACACTAGATCCAATCTATGGATAAAGTATGAATCAGAATAAACTAGAGCAGAAAGACAAGCATTTGTCGGAAAAAATGCCCTTCCATCTTGCCACACAGCATACCTAATATCATCACACCTTAGCATGTTTATAGCACATTATATGTTCAAAGCCATGTACAAACACTAACTAATTAATTTTTATAACCTATTAGGCAGCCTTACACTATGACGTAAGATTATTATCGCGATTTTGCAGACCGGGAAAATGAAACAGAAAAATACAGCAACTTGCCTAAATCCACACAATAAGTCAGTGGCAAAACCAGGGTTGAAAATTGGAACTGTGCGATTTCCAAATTCTGGGTTCCTTCTAGCTGGTGCCTAGAACTGCTTCAAAGAGGAACATTATGAAAGAAAAGTTAGATCTTTAAACTACATTTATATAGATGTTAGACAAAGCAGGTACTTTGGCAGGAACCAGAAAAAGAGAAACAGTTTTGCTATAAATGTAGGAACTGTCCCTTTCAGAGACATTAGGCATAAACAGAGGTGTAACAGGCAGTTTTTGTGCCCAGCACAGTGCCAGGAGTGTAGCTAGGACGGCAGCTGTGATGGCTGTCAATATTGTGCCCCATTTAAGTCAGCATCCAGGGCTTGATCCCCACTCGCTCACCCTTAGTTACACTACTGAACATAAGGAAAAATTCTGTGAGGGGCTTTGTAAGCATAGACCCAGAAAAGTTCCCAGAACATAGCAAAAAGCCAATTTGCAGTGGCGAGCTGCCCAGCAGTTGCTACACCTTTCTGCGTATGTACACACTGAAGTAAGAGTGAATACTAAGAAGAATGAATTTCTTTGCAACCAAGTGTTAGTCTTAGATCTTAACCAATCTTATTTAAACTTCAAATAGCTGGTTGTAGGTGCAACTGTGCTCAACTGACCACCTGACAATTGTTTCTTTCTGTGCTGCCAAAAATTAATTAAGAGGCCTGGAGGATAAGATGCACCAAAATACGAACTTTGGGGTAACCTCATGAGTCCCTAAAGGTCATTTTAAAAGTATTTCTTTGTACATACTTCTTTGAATATTAAAATAACCAAAATAATCTGGTTTGTAAAACAGTTTTTTATTGTATCCGTGCCACACATACTAGTGAAAAATAACACTCCTAAAAAAAAAAAAAAAAGAATGCTACCTTTTCCACAACATTTTGTTTTAAATAAAACTTCAAGTACTCTTACATAGGTACAAAAAAAATTCTGATCTATCTGCCCCCAACAGGCCACCACAACACACAGTAGATAAAACACAGTGGTTACAAATGTCTTTTGTTATTTCTGTGGCAAGGCAAATGGAGGGAAATGTTTCTATGAAAAAATACTGTGTGCGCGCGCCCACGCGCGTAGGAAATTGTCACAATTTATTTTCCACATGGATACAAATGATTATACTTGAATTTGAGGCCCTGGTGGCTTGAAATTATATAACAAAATAGAAAAATGGAAAACTAATATCCCCTACACCCTGTTTTGAAGGCAGGCACTACCAAGATTAAGGAGACTCCACAGTGTTGGTAGAGGATAATTACTGTACAAGCCGTATAGCTATAATTACCTTAAGACTAAAATAAAATGCTACAGTCCTTCTAAGGCATAAACAATAATGTCTTCAAACAATATGTACACATCATACATATTTAAAACAAGACTTAATATAAACAATAATGAACAGTATATACATATGTCTCAATTTTTCTTCACTGTCTTGAAATACAATTTAACTACACAAGTGATGCAGCAACATATATATAAATGTACTTGTAACTCTACAGTAAAGTTTAATTTTTAGTGCTTTCACAGCACATCAGTGTAAACAGTTTTACTTGGCTTTGTTTTATATTTTAAAACATTCCTTGTTGTATTTTCAAGATTTAAAGCAATTTTTCTAATTCTTCCTTTTCACAGAAAACGAAGATTCTGGATGCTGTTTAATCATAAATAATTCATAAAATTAAATACATTCACTAAAAAATAAACTACAAAGTAAAAAAAATGAAAAATAGATATTTATTGAAAGGGAAAAGAGAACCATTTCCCCAAGTAGAGCTCTGGTGGTTGAATATTCAGTGCGTTTTGATAAATTTTAAATTGCTATTGCACTATAACACCCCTTTCTTTGAAATTCTTTGGGTGTGCTTCCCTGTTCTACCTAAATTAGTTTGATAAAACACACAAACCAATAACCAAGGGCCATGGTTGCTGTAGGAGTGAAGCCTTTAGAATTAGTATCACTCTTCTGTGATACTTCTTTAAGGAAAAAAAACAGTCATTAGTTATGCATGTGCCTTGCACTTTTATGTAAATATAGTTCACATTGCTGGTCTCATTTGTCCTTATTTAAGGAAAAATATTGGAGTTCTGATAACTTCAGCTCACTTTGAAAATCTCTGTCCATTTTTTTTCAAAATATTTCCTCATGTTGTGGCCAGCCCTGCCTATGTCAGAATCATCTTCATTAAAGGTTTCACAGTTGTCAAAAACAAGTCTGACATCTAGGGAAAATGCTTCAAGATTTGGGTACCTGAAAGAACAGAGAGATAAGGATCGTTTTTTCTTTAGAACAAAAAAACCCTATGATAAAAACTAAATCTATCAAAAAGAGATATAAAAGTATAGACACAGTTACAGCTAAACAGAAAAATATTCAGTATTCACTGTATAACATTTAATTATATATTTGACCATTCCAGTTTTAATATTAAGTATTTGCAGAGAGAGAACTTTTAAAGTAATAAACTATGCCATTAGTTTCAATGTTCACATCGAAGTGCAATTGCTAAGAAAAAATTCCAATTCTGCACTGGAACTAAAACCAATTTTCAACTCTCTTCCCCCCAGTTTTTCCTGGTTAAAATAATAAGAAACTATTCCATTTTATTCACCCATTCTTGAACTACATTGTTTTCTGTTTTAAAACAACTGGTGAGTCCATTTTCCAACTTTTTCTCTTGATACAGTACACAATTTTGATATCAAATATAAAGGATAAGTAGAGCAGCATTAACTTAGGACAGGAACTATCAGATATGCAAAAGACTGTTTTATGAATGGCTGGAAGCATATATCAGAATTTCTATACATGTATTTTTGCATAAGACCATGCATGCATGTATGAAAAAGAGAGGGAAGTGGGGAGAGAGAGAATTTCACAATGCATTTATATGGATACTTTCAGTAAAAGGAATTTTACCAAACTAAAATGAATGAAAACATCATACTATAAATTATCAAACATAAATCTATGCTTTACAGTTGTTGGTTGTAGCTGTGCTGGTCCAAGGACATAGGCAGACAATGGTCTTTGGGTAGATGTGATATCTTTTATTAGACCAACTAAATAGTTAGAAAAATTGTTCTTTGCAAGCTTTCAGGCACAACCACCTTGTGTCTGAAAGCTTGCAAAAAACATTTTTCCCAACTATTTAGTTGGTCTAATAAAAGATATCACATCTACCCAAAGAACCTTGTCTGCCAAACATAAATGCTGCATTACTTTTATCAATATCATAATGAGGCAAATCCTGAGCAGAATAATTGCAGTGTGTCATTTCCAATGTACTAGGAACTCCAAACAGTGAAAGGCTCTGTGCACATTTATATGTATATGCTGCAGGTCTGTTTTCTGTAATAGAAACCAATCCCGCACCGGAGTCGACGGTAAAGCTATAACTGACTTCCAGTAGGGACAGTTTGTAACTCAAGGTCTCCACAAATCAATACTGAGAAGAAAGTAGTAGAAAAAAACACCCATGCTCAGAAACAAGTGGTACCAGGAGCCACACAGCAAAGAGTGCCCAAATGGCAGATTGTGGCCAGCTGGCCACTTCTTTCAGGACAAATGACTGGTAGTAGACTAGCTGCAGGCATTTTGTGCATCTATACACGTGCTCCGGGTGGGGGGTGGGGGGGGGCTGCTATTTTAATTAGAGTTAGAGTAGCTCTTGGGAGTTATAGTTAAAGTGCTGCCGCTGCCATTTTGAAATGTGGGATGCTAAATACACAAGACACCGCAACTCGCTGGAGCATTCTGATTACAACACAAGAGTCTGCTCCGATGAATTCTAATCAGAATGCGTCAGAGCATGTTCTCATAAGCTCTTCACAGCCTCATAAATTGGAGCTCATTTCCTGCATAAGCTTGGCTCTGCTCCTTTTTTCATGATTTCCTGCTATTGGAAATTTAATCCTCAATCCTCATCACACGAAAGATATCAACACAATGCTAGCTTGAGCAAGACAAAACGAAGAATGTTAACCAATCAAAATAACACTCTCAACGAGTATTTATTTTAGTTTAAATATTCAAATTTGTAATTTCTCAGGCCATAATCTGATATAAGCATTTTTTATATTAAGTCAATTTTATTTTATGACTTACTGATGTTTGAAAAGGAGATGATTATGTTATATTAATTTTTAATAAGCATATTGCTGTTTACATCTTAGCATGATAACTAGAACCACTCATACACTACAACAATGGGCAAATATTAAATAACTAGATAGGAAGAAAACAAATTTCAGCATCAAAAACATTAATTGAATTAGCTGTATAGATTTGTAAATCTCCCTTAATCTACTTTTACATGATTTACAGAAGATGTATTTGTGCTCTACCATATTTTAGGGAATGATGTGGATATGCAAAATTCTTGGATCATCTCTGCTGAGTGTAACCTCATCCATGTTACAGCAGTGTGTTCAATATCAAACTCATTTAAAAAACTTATTCAGGCAAAAATTAAAGCATCTTTGGGCAAAAATTTGGGCAAAAAGTAGAAGACTACATTAATCTATGCACAGAATAGTCTTCACAAACACTGCACTTTAGGTTCCTGGGACAAGCATATAGTTCTCAGTCAAGAATACATTCCAATTATTTTAATGGGAGGCTTGCTTAAGGAAGGAACCCAGAATCAGAACTATGATTGCTGCAGTTCCTTGTTATGAGAATGAGTTCAAGACAGTTGGTTTCTGTAAGTTTATGTTGAGGATTTCAATCTTGCCTAACACAGACGTTTATTAAAACTGGGTTTAAAGTCAGTTTAGTTAAAGTGGTATACATTCTTATACAGACACTCTGACACTGCTTAATATGTGGATCAATTAACATGCGGGTTGCATTTACACTACCAGTCCAAGCTAAACAAAAATAAACAAGGATTTGGGTCAATACAAGACTATCTACACATAAAAGATGCACCAGTCCAACTATATCAATATCAAATTTAAAAAAAAGATACAAAAACACAGCTTAATTTAGTTTGTGTACCTATTTGTGTAGACCTGGCCTTAGGTCTCCAGCAGGGTACAAGGCAGTGCAAAATAACTATCCCTGTTCAAAGTGGGCTCAAAATGTCACAATCTGCATTCCCCTCAATGTCAGCAGCATTCTACAGCAGTATTTCAAGGTTCATGACAATGGGGAATCAGGCACATTAGTATTATGTTACAATTTGTGTTCAGAATTTCTTCATCAACACTCCAGCTCATAATTTACACCTGACCTAAAGTAGTCAGTGTAAACCATTTTATAAGTAATTTTACTCGTTTTAGCCATTCATTGTCTTCAATTGCAATTCTTAAATGAGTAAAAGTTATTCATGTACATACCACATGTTTATATTATGACTGTGAAAGGATTAACCCTGTAGGTGTTGCAGTAGAAGTATCTCCCACAGAGGGATGGGAGTGAGGCTGATGAGAGGACTGGAACCTGCAGAGCCTGTGAGCCCCTGCAGTGGCAGATAAGACTGCTCACTGCCCACCCTTTTTTCCAAGGAAAAAACTTTTCTTCTTCATTCTGCCTTCCCAAAACAACGTGCATGTCTTGCTTGGGCATGTGTGGTATGCAAATAAATATGGGAAATTCCAAATAGATCGTTTGGTTAATGCCCAAAGTATACACTTGGACAGGTGGAATTTTATGATAAACAGAGACCCAGAAACTCACCTCATTATAAAACCAAGATAACATTCTTTTAAAATTATCTAAAGAAAGCCTTACTTTATGTTTCCTTCAGTGTCTGTTTTTCCTGACTGTTTGACTTTCCTATTATCTGCAAGCATCTATGCACAACTACATTTTCTTATTCTTCTTCCATATAACTATGTAAACACTGGTAGCACAGCAGAAGGAAAACTTTTACTGCTGCATTTGTGTTTGGGGCATTTATGACTCCATGACGCCCTCAGAAATGTCAAGTCATATTTCCAATACTGTCTGCTGGGAGGTCAATGTAATAGCAGTATGGGGAATAACATTTTTCCTTTTCATTGCTCTGCTTCATATTGCCTATCCTGGCCTGCTGACTAGGTACACCAGGCCTAGAGTAGTCCCCTTCGGTAGAGTATTTTCTGAGGAATGAATGAAATGATTTATAGTTCCTTTTAATAGCTACCAGTGTGTATATTCATGTGTCAGAATCTCTCTCATACATGTAGGAGAGAGGTTTGAATCGCCTTAAGCAAACCTTTTTACAGCTTATTTTGCATGGAAATAATGGACTCTAGAAAGTGCCTCTCTCTTCCTCTTGAGTAGGTGGTGGCTTCAATGAGGGATCTGAAGAGCACAGATATAAACTGGAAAGAAATGATAGAGGACCCCACAGAGCTGAGATCTGTTTCCATGTGAAAAGGATGGGAGAGAAAAAGAACTTGTTAATTATAACTTGTTAACTCTTGTTAATTATTGTATTTAATGACTGCAGTTTTAATTGCAGAACTATGAATGATTAAACCACCATTTGATGAATGATCACAGCTTTAACAAGCAAATATTTACTTACTGTCCACTACTTAGCTTGTCTCTGATGGTAGAGAAGTCCATAGGCTTTTTAATAACCTTCTTATAACCAGGAACAAGTTTCAAGTTTACAGGAAGTAAGAAAGGCCATGCATCTTCATGAGTTTCCAATTCAGACAGAATCATGCTAAATAGAATGTTTAAAACAAATATTTCAAGCTTTTTCCCCCTAATAAACACTCTTCACCATTATATACATGCATATTGTCTCGTCAATCTTTCCTCCTTTGAGGGACAACAGTGTTTTGTGTACCGTACTGAAGACAATGTCAACAGTCGTATTTATTGCTCCCAATTTATTATTTAGCTATCTCTAAGCAAATTCTTGAGAAAGAAATTCAAAATTACTATTCAAACACAAGAAAAAAACCCACCCCTTTAAATCTTTTACAGTATAGACCTTAACATATTACATTAAAAGAGAACTTACACCAACTCTCTTAAGCCAGTCTACAAGCTATATTATACCACTTTTAAGGGAGGACCACACCAGTGAGGGGATATGGTGTATTCCTATGAGGCACCTTCTGTTGTCAAGTATGATACATCTTGAAGACACGTTGGGCATGGACAGCCATATTTATTATATTTTAAAAAGTCTATGCAGCACTCTTCTCATTTTTTTCCTTTCAGCTCTTTCTAGCATGCAGGCAATCAGAGGGTAGTTCAGGGTCACACCGCACCCAGGGGTGTCCATAAGGGGCCAAGCATCAATACTCCCACCACACATACATTGGTGGTTCCAGTATTTGCTGCCAAATTCTTATTGGTTTTTGTGTTCATGTGCTATAGGCACTGGACTTTTTTCCCTTCCTTCCCTCCCATTACCATACCGGAGCAGATGCTATTTGGCTTACCCAAATTTAGCATTTATCGCTATATAAGCAGACAGATGGACAGACAATACCTGCATAAAGCCAGGTCCTTGGATTCATCCCTTTTAGGTTTCTTGATAGGAGTGAAACTTTCTTGTTTTAATTGGTTAACAGAAATATTTTCATCCATTTTTCTCTTTTTGGGGTCTGTCTTTCCTCTTTTTAAGGAGCTGCTGGTAGCTGCAGAGTCTTCATCCTCTGTATCTCCTGTTAAAGATAACTTCCTGCCTCTTTTTTGTTCATTACTTTTTTTCCCTTTGATTTGAAGTTTTTTTATTTTTAGGGTTTGACCACTTGCCTACAAGAGAGGTGATTCAAATAAATAACAAAACTAAGGGACAACACAACAGTTGTTATTATTGGTAAATATCAGAAAACAAGTAAATTTCTGACACTATTATCAAACCAATCATTGCATTTATTATGAATGAGAGAAAAGGTAGACTGTTTACTTCCTGTTACTCCCTAAAACCAGAAGACTGAAAGAAATCCAGAAATCATATAAAAATCTGTAAGTCAATATTTTGAAAAAAATAACTAGTGATTTTGTGTTTCCAACTTGGGACACTACAAAACAGTCTGATTTCCAGAAGGTTTTGAGCAACTAGGCTCTAAGAAACTGGCTGTTTTATGGTTTCTGAAGCTGAACATCCCAAAAAGTGGGGGGAAAAAAATCACCACCAGTCTCTTCGGGGGAAAAAAACCCCGTCCACAAACTTTGTTCAAGAATCCACTGGAGGACATAACAATTCAGAAATATCTGAAACAACCCCACTCTCCATCTTGAAGCAGTAATGAAAAAAATAGTAAAATAGCATAAATAAAGAGAACTTTAATGGCAATTGATGAGAAATACTGATGTGGCAAGATAAGGATAAGTAGAGCACATGACAATGGGTACCAATCTTACAACTTCTCTTCTGAGCTGAGGAAGAGTAGAGACCATACTAATTACATTTGACACTGACATTAAATTAACAGGAGTTGTAAATGAGTGGGAACAAATATAAGAAATCAAAAGAAATTACAAGTACAAGCTGAAGAAACATAAGATTCAATTTGGCAAAATGTAAGATCTAAATATATCTGGATTAAAATAGACTAAAATATATAACCAACTGAAACGAGAACCTTAGGGAACAGCAAAGCTGAAAAAGCCATAAGCATAGTAACAGACAAGAAAGTTGACATGAATTTATTGCTGCATGAACAGTCAATGTGATTTTACAATTTATTTTTAAAAAGACATCAGGTTAAAAGACTGGGGAATTAAAGATTTCCTCCTATAAAGGACTTTGTAAACACAATTAGAGTACTATATTCATTCGAAGTGATTATGGCTGCTGACAGACATGAAACAAACAACCAAACCTGCTCTTTACTGGAAGAAGAAGCGTATTAGTTTTTACTCGGCTCTGCAACATCTGTATAGATTGGGTGCTTCAGCGGGGCTTTTTGGCACTTTTATCTAAAGCTGTTCAATTAGCTATTAGAGAAAGTGCCAAAAAAGCCCCACTAAAGTGCCTGATCTATACAGATGTTGGAAAGGCAGGTCCAACTAACGAGATGCCTCTTCCAAGCATCCATTGGGCTTGGCACAGGGGCACACCAAGTTTAAAGTAAAGTGTAATTTTTCTTTTTTTTTTCCACGACTGCAAGCAACCTATGTTACTGGATTGATATTGAAAACTAGAGAAGGTTTAAAAGAAAAGCCATGAGACCAGAAAGACTGATTTACATTTTTTTTAAATAATTAAAAGAGCTATGTAAGTATGATGTCTGTAACTTACGTTTTCCTGTAGTGGTGTTGTAGGTAAGTACATGAATGATGTGAACAAAATGGAGGTAGAGAGTATTTAGAATAACATAGAAATATCTGGGGACAACGGGTTGAAAACAAAAAAGAATATTTAAGATGAAAGCTAACTAAAGCTTAAAGACAGGAAGATTTATTGGGCTCTGAAACAGTGTGCTAAAAAAAGAGGGTATTCTGAGATTTTACAGTGGACTGGGCAACACACCAGAGAAAAGAGGAACAAGACAGTCTACAATAAAGAAAAAAAGCTGGAAGGGAAACAGCTAGATGATCTAATCAGTCTTTTCCATCTCTACTTTCCAATTCTATCTGTTCCATTCTTGATTAAAGACTAAGAAATCCTCAGTTTCAATTCCAGATGCATGAGAATAGAAAAGAAACTAACAATTTAGCAGATTAATAGCAGCAAAACTCTGTAACTAAACACAAGGAGTAATTCAAAAGTTATTCACACAAACTGGAAGAGATGAGATAAATATGTCTGCATCTTACTGACTCTTAAAGATCAATCTGACTATAAGTCTGAAATCTGCACTGAAAATACCACAATCTTTCAAGGAGAAGAAAGATGATGTGAAACTAGACAATGCAAGTTGCTAGTCATTTAAAAAAAATGAAATTTCCTAAATTTGTGTAACCCAGCTGCATTCAATCTAACAAGTTATGAGATGAAGAACATTCTAATGAATGTGGAAAATGCCAAAAGACTGACCTCTAGCACTAACCTTGTTGGCTTGAACAAGATATTTAAAAAACAAAATTACATGAACTTCATTAACAGACTGCTGAAACATTTGGCTCCAATTAAATTGGGATGGCTGAAATATTTGAATGAGCTATCCAAGATGGACTAGATAAATTAATTATATGGAAGAAGAATACTGTAAGCAAATTTCTTTTGCTTTGAAACAGAATGACAAGGATAAACAACTATAAACTTATCCTATAACCACACAAAAGTCTCTCTTTTTCTGCCCCAAGTTTAGGGAAATATCCTCATGTCACATTTATACTTGTGTAGGCATGGTGACTTAGTCATTACCACTGTGTGGTCATTCAATTTAGGGGGCTGGAAATGGACTGAATGTCTTCACACAAAGCCTGACCCCATGTGTGCCTTGAAGTCCGTACAGTGCCTAGAAGCTCTCAGGAGCTACTTAACATCTCATGAGGTCAGAAAGTTTATGGTAGGTTTACACAAGAACTATGTGGATGTGTTTGAATTGATCTCTCTTAGGAATCATAAGAAAGTAGAGATTGAAGAGACCCATGAGGTCATCTAGTCCAGCCCCTTGCTTAAGGAAGGAGCATCCCTACTTAAACCAGACTGAAAAAATGGTTGGCATTTCTCAACCCATGGGTTATGACCCAAAACTGGGTCACAAGAATATATGAAAGGGTCACAAACAATCATGGAAAAATGTGGAAAATCAGATTTTTTCCTTTAAGGAGAAAAATGTGGAAAATGGTGGGTTTCCCTTTGCAGGCTGGCAGAGTTTCAGTCTGCAAGGGGCTGCTTGGGGCTGAGGGGAGCAGGAGGAGGGCGATCGGACAGGGGACACCACATGTGTGTGGCAGCCAGGCAGCATAGAGAGCAGCTTCCGCAGGTAAGTCTATGGGACAGGAGGTGGGGGGGAGAGCATAGATGATGCATCAGGGTGCCATGGGGAAGCACGGGCCAGAGCCACATCCACGGACCAGCGAGAAGGACCCAGCACAGAAGGGTGGAGCAGAGCAGCAAGATTTGTTGCTGTGACCACTGGGACCCGTGTGGCAGCCACGCAGCCAGCAGTGTGTGGAGTAAAGGACCAGGGGGTGCTACACTGCTGTCGCCTCCTCCTGCTGCCAGCTGCCTCCATGGCCTGGCTGCCACTCTATGCCAGAGGAGAGGTGGAGTGAAGGCAGTGTGGGCAGCCTAGGGGCAGTGGCAGCTAGGCCATGGCGGCGGGGTAGAGCCATGGCTCAATGTATGAGCAACTGGCAGCAGGAGGTGAGGGCAGCGCAGTCCCTCCCCCTGGTTACTCCTTGCACTGCTGGCACTGCAGCTGGCAGGGGGTCCTTCCAGTGGCAACACCAAGTCTTGCAATCCCTTTCTGCCCCCCCATGCTGGATCCACCTGCTGAGCCGCAGAGGTGACTCTTGTCCATGCTGGTCCAACCAATCTGCAGCCCCATGCCTGCTGTGGGCTCACAAATCTGGGAAGGCACATGCCCCTCCCATGTTCCCATCAGTCCACATACCAACCCCCTGCTCCATACACTGGACCTGGGGGCCACAGGTTGGGAGTGAGAGGCACCAGCAGGGCTGGGGGCCTATGGAGTGGGAGTGAGGGGCACCGTCAGGGGCAGGGGGCTGTTTTCTACTTAAACTATTTACTGGGTCGGGACTGGCCAATGTTTACAGATAGGTCCTGGTACAAAAACAATTGAGAACCACTGGATTAGACAGCCTGGCCAAGGGTCTGTCTAACCTGCTCTTGAAAAGTTTCAAGGATGGAAATTCCATAATTTCTTTAGCCTGTACCTGTTCCAGTGCTTGACCACCCTCATAATCAGAAAGTTCCTCCTAATTTCCAACCAAAATTTCCCCTGCTGCAGGTTGAGACCATTGCTTCTAGTCCTCTCTCCTAAGGTCACAAAGCAAAGCCCATTTCCACCCTTTCTGTAATTGCCCTTCTGGTATTTGAAAGCTGTTATCAAATCCCCTCTGCTCCATCTTCTCCCCTCCAGACTAAATAACCCTAGTTCTTTCAGCCTTTCCTCATAAGTCTTGCCTCCCATGCCCCTGATCATTTTTGCTGCTGTAAACTGCCCACACTGTTTTGAAGTGTGGGACCCAAACCTAGACACAGTACTCCAAGCGAGGCTGCACTCACCAGTGCTGAAGAGTGGAAGAACTACTCCCTTTGATTTGCAAATAACACTCCTGTTCAGGGCCATCCCGGGGGTGGGGGGGGAAGGGCAGCAAATCGGGGAAAGTGCCCTGGGCCCTGCGCTTTGGGGGACTCTGTGGAATGGGGCGAAGAAGCGGTGGCGTGGAGCCGGGCAGAGCAGTAGCTCCGCATCCAGCTGTTTGCTACCCCCGCCTCAATCAGCGGCAGCAACTTCTTTAGGTCTGGGGCCCAGATCAGAGTGGGGGCGGGGCCCCACATAGGCTGATTTGCCCTGGGCCCTGGGCCCTGCACCCTGCTCAGGTCAGCTCTGCTCCTGTTAATACAACCCAGGATGCTGTTAGAATTTTCTTGCAACAAGAGCACGCTGTTGGCTCGTATTATTCTTAGTGTCCACTGTAACCCCCAGGTCCTTCTCTGCAGTACTGCAGCCTAGCCATTCATTCCCCAATCTGTATTTGTGCACACAATTATTCTGTCCCAAGTGCAGGACTTGGCACTTGTTCTTGCAGACCATTTTTCCAGTCTACCCAGGTCATTCTGGATCCTAGCCCTGCTCTCCAGAGTGTTTGCAACTCCACACAACTTGGTGTTGACCGCAAATTTGCTAAGCATGCACTCAAACCCATCATCCAAGTCATTAATGAAGATGTTAAACAACACCAGACCCAGACAGTCCCCTGAGGAACCTCACTTGATACCTCCTCCCAACTAGACGTTGAGCCATTGATGACACTGGAACACACTACAGGCTAGAGAAATTGTGGAATCTCCATTCTTGGAAGTTTTCAAGAGCAGGTTAGACAGACACTTGGCTGGGAAAGTCTTGCCTTGAGCAGGGGGCTGGACTAGATAATCTTGAGAGGCCCCTTCAAGTTCTACTTTCCTATGATCGTATTGAAAATGACAGAAATGGTGGCAGTATTTGACTACTACATTACTTTTAAAAAGATGTGAAGCACTTGATTGTCAACATTTATATTAACTGTATTAAAGGTGAATGGGTAACCCCCCCTCCCCCATTTTAAAACAAATGTGGATGGTCAGGATATTCATTTAACGACAGAAAAAATATTAAACTTAAAACTGCAAATAAGCACATTTCAAACAAACTAGCTGTAAACCATATCCTTTTATCTGCTGCTAAGACCTGTAATGAAATTCTGTTCTTCTTTTGCAATATTTGAGGATATTTCTAACAGTTCGCTAAACCAGCATAAGATGTGCAGATTGCTGATCGATTTTAAGTGTTTGTGAAGCTGTCACTGGTGGAGAAGCTCATAATTGAGAACTCACGAAGGTCAATAGCATTTCAGTCACCTTTAAGGTTAATATTACCTTTGCTATGCAGGCAGGACAAAACCAGTCACCGTCTGGTATTGTAGTGATCTTGGGCCTATGGCAGTATGTGTGACAGCCTTTGTCACAACCATCACACAGCAGCAGCAGTTCTTCATTATCTCCCTTACGACATATTTGGCAGTACTACAATACATGAAAAATCACTTTAATTTAACAAAAGTGTTCTTGAATTGTCTGTATATGTGTGTATGTGTATAAATAAATATGGTTATTTCATGTATCATCTTAAACAGCTACAGTAGCCGCAGCTCTGTGTATGCATTATATATTTCTGTAAATTCTCTCTCTCCATATATATGTTACAAGGAGCAAGAGAACTGGAGAGTATGGTTGCAATGACTTACATGCATTTCACATATAGTGAGGAAATAATCCAAAGGCTAAATGCCAACACTCTTGAAAAGTTCATCTACCTTTAACAATGATGTTTTAGAGCATACAGAGCTGTGAATACTTTTTTACAGCTGATTAAATGCCCAAGCAAAGCATTTTACATTTGATAACCTCAAAAGCTCCTGACAGCATACAGAGGATTCCCTCTTCACTTATGTCCATGACAGAACTCACAAGCAAAATGATCTTCGTGTCCGTCTTCAGGCTGAACTCTATTGGCTAAAAAGCATCCTTAGAGGAAGTCCCTCAGCTCTCAAAATTATTCCCTTTATGGTCTAATTTTTTCCAAGTTTTGCAGCACTGATATGGCAAACTCCACCTGCTTAGTCTAACCTCATGCTTTTACTTGATCTGCTTCAGTAGCTGGGAGGGTATTAGTTGTCTGTGTATAAGGCACTGCTCTATTGGGAATTGATCTTATATACAGCCAAGAAGTACCTACAGTTACAATTTTTCATTTTATAGAAAATTTTACAGAGAAACTAGTCTAACTGTTATGATGGCAGTACCAAAATTACTGGGGGAAATACTCTGCGTGAATGTTGATCCTGTTACACAAGAATGGAAGACATGAAAAGTCATAATGAAAGATTTTTAAAATACTTATTGTTTTCTTCCCTTGGAAGGTTTTGCAAATACTGTGGTGCATGTTAGCTTTCTGTGATTGAAGGTTAGCATCTGGCTTGGAGAAGCATCTAAGCAAAACTGTTTGAGAGTCAGAAGTAGGTCATTAAAAGAAACAACTATTTGGTGGAATGAGCTCCATAAAAAAAAGGAAGTGCCAAAATAAGATGCAGCATCAATAAAGTCTGAACGTACAACCATCTGAAATTTGCCTTTTGGATATTTTAATTTCTTTTTAAAAATTCATAAAGATATTTTAGAAAAATAGAAAAAGGCAGAATCCAAAGGCCAGGCACACCCATGAGAAAAACCTATTAGGCTTTGATCTGCTCCTAAATTAACCTATTAGCATTTAGACAACGTAAGTAATTATTTAGTTTTCTACAGCCTCTAGTTTTGGTTTGTTTATATTTCTAGAGTTCTTTCTGAATCTACTGCTTTCCAAACAGTGCACCTTTTTGAGGTCTTGGTTAATTCATTAACAACTGGACAAAGAATTGACACTTAGGCACAAATCCTATTCTGCCTACTAGATGTCTAAAGCCTTGATGGCCACATGGCCAGAAAATGGTTTTGCCTCAGGAATGTGATTCTATTCCACTTACGGAAGCACACAGCACCACGCTTTCAATGGGCAGCTCCTGATGCTCTTTATACATTCTAAGCAATGACTATTTAAAGTATAAGGAGCACTAGGAGCTGTCAGAGAAGAGGTTTGAGTCTGAAGCTGCCTTCTTCAGCACTGCTTACCTTGTTGGGTCAGAGACAGTCTTTCTTTTAATTGATCTACCCCCAGTGCATCAGGTTCAACAGGAGTAAGGGGTGTCCTCTGCCACACCTAGAGCCTTAGTGGTTAGAGGACACTGTCCTGGGAGGTAGAAGAGCACATGGGAGTCTGCACTACTTGCTGCCCCCCACCCCAAGCTACTCCCTATGGGGGTATTCACCACAAGGGTGGATCAGGATCCAATATCTGTATGGCACTACATGCCACTTATCTAGCAAAAACTAGGGGCACCTACACATGTGCCCTATGCCTGCTGAGACACATACTAATTAGCATATGTTGGAACAGACTTAATTAACTGAGTCTGCTGGAATGTGCCAATTAGCATGCTCCAGCAACCTTGGCATCATGTGTATTCAGTCTCCTCATGCTTCAAAATGGCAGCAGGTGTGCTTTAACTAAACTTGTCAAACAAACTTTAGTTAAAGCACCCCCACTGCCATTTTGAAATACAAGACACTGAATACACAAGATGCTGTGGGCGCTTTAATTAGAATGGCTCCCAAGAGTGCCCACCCCACCCTGGAGCCCGTGTAAAGGCATCGTATGATCTGGGTCAGGTCCCTGGCACACATTACATCTGAGGTGCACTTACATTAATCATGCCATAAACAGTTACCCTGTCACATGTTAAATTTATGGCATACTAATATAGCAAATAAGCCATAAAGTTACTCCACACACAAGCCACACAAGGCTTATTTGTATTATGCCTTAAACTGAATGTGTGGCATGTCAGGGCTGACCCATGACAAATCTCAAAGCTCAGCTGAATGTTGGGATCTGTCATGGGGCAGCCCCAGGGTCCACAACATAGCTGTACCCTGCTTGATCAGTGGGGTTAAGCTGGGACAGTCCCAAGCCATGGACCTGGTGCTCCCACCTGATTCGTGGAGGCAGGCAGGGGAGTGCTGTGAGCCCCACATTAGGGAGCATCTCCCAGATCTCAGGTTCGCTGTGACCCAGACCTTTAAAAAGTGGGCATGCACAGAAGCAGCAGCTTGAGGGTGAGGAGCTATTCACTCCCAAGCTGCACACAACATTTTATAGTACATGGCATGGGCAACTGTGCAGTTAGGAGCTCCCTGCTCTCAAGCTGCACACGCAACTTCACACCATTTTGCCCTGAAGTTTATGTACAACCCACAGAGCAAAGAAAAAATTCTGTGGACACCTAACGTGAATTTCTCTCTATGCTGGCAGTTGACGCATGGTAAATTGCATGATTTGGGGGATGGAGCATAACATTCTTCAAATCCCAATCTCACTATTACCTTACCATCTGCCACCAGCCTTTGATATTTGAGTATTACTTAGACCTATAACAGACAAATTGGGATCTGGCTCTAAGGCCCCTGACACACACATTTATTATCCAATCGACTGCTTAACTGCACAATAAATTTAGACATGCACATGCAAAGTAATTATCATGCGATAAAAATAGCCATCCAGACACAAAGATGTCCCTTGTAAATTGTAGAACATTTTTGTAGCTGGTTTTTATCAAGCTCTAATTTGAACATGTGGCATGTCACACATCAGGTGGCAGGTCTTTTCAGGGTCCTCTGGCATCCCAGGATGCTCCTGCCCTGACCTCACCAGCCACCTATATGCTGATGCTGATAATCAGCTAGTTGTCAGCATCACTATAGGAACAGACTACGGCACCAAGATGGTGGGAGTCCAGGGTCCTGAATCAGTCCTGGAACTGTCAGCTTCAGCCCCAGACAGCTTAGGGTCCCTCTGGATCTGGGTTCAATAATAACTGATTGTCAGATCCACCCCATATAGCCCCAAGTCAGGAACCTGCTGGAAGCTGGGGGCAACCCTTGGTTTAGAAGAGAGTTGCCTTCTGCCTGATCTGCAGAATCAGGGCACGGGTACCTCCGCAGTGACAGGATTGGGATGGGAGGAACTTTATGCCCCATCCCAAACACTGTGCCTCAAGCCATGTATGCTTGGGATGGGACATAAAATTTATCTGGTCCCAACTGCACCACTGTTAAAATGTCTATCAAGGGCCTAAGCGTAATCTTAATTCAACCTGCTTAAATCCCTAAAAAACTGGTAATGCAGACGTTAGGTGGAGTAGATGTGTTTGTAAATATTTATAAACATGGCGGGGGGGGGGTTGTTTTTAAAAAAAGGCAACACATCTTTTAGAAAAGGTTCTGAGTGAATGCGTACTGGCTACAGCCACTTCAGATTCTTCATTTATTTGGACTATTCTTTTAAAATATGTAATATCTATTATTAACTATTTAACAACATTAAAATATATTTAAAAATTAATTCTAATATATAGGTATTTATATTCATTTTTATAGTTTTTATAAAATTGCATTAAATCTCCACTTTAATTTATCTAAGCTGAAAGTTGGTAAATGAAATAGACAAGGAAGATAGTTCCAAAGCAAATTTTCAGAGTACAAACATATTTTTGATAAGCTATCAAAAGGGAGGAGAACTGACAGAGTAGTAAGCAGCATAGGAATGGGCACTCTTGCTCTCTTCAGCTAATGGTTGTCATTGCCAAATCTAAAACACTAGTTTGATGAATAAAAAGGAAATATTTGAAAATGTTGATTATTTTAGATCAGTGGTGCTCAACTTTTTTCCCTGGGCAGTGCTGGGTCCATCCACAGGCTGGATGTGACTCGTGGTCCTGATCTGGCACCTGGGGTAGGCATGGCAAGGCCCCATCCAATCATGTGGAGGAGGCTGGGGGGCCACCTGTCCCCGATCCACCCCTGCAGGGGAGAGGGGACATGACCCAGCCCTGAGCCAGCCCTGTGGGGGATAGAGGACGTGGCTCCACCCCAATCCAGCCCTGCAGGGGGAAGGGGGCAAGGTTTGGCCCCAATTCATCTGGACAAGGGGGAAGCAAACAGTCTAGCACTAACCTACCAGTTCACAGAGAAGCAGGTGTGGCCCAGCTCCAACCTGGCAGTGTGGGTAAAGGCAGCATGGCCCAGCCCCTACCTGGCTGTGCTGAAGGAGGGGGCACGGGAATTTGGCAGCAGAGGAGGGTGGCTAGTTCGTCCTTGCCTCCAAATTTCCCAACCTGTGGGGACCCTCACAGGCCAGATACAATGGCATTGTGGCTGCAGGCCTGAGGCTGAGCATCCATTTTAGACAATTATTGCCTTAGTTTTTCCAATCCAAAGTCTAAACTTCTAAAACAGAAATGGTAAAAATTGAAACTAAAAAAAAAAAAAGGGAAATTCTCTGTGTTGAAACTGAACTTAATAAGGCTGGTTTTTTAATTATACATCGACACCTTTTAGACCTCAGTCTTTTTATGGAATATCCAAGTTTCTTGGATAATACCGCGCATTAAACCAATTCAGAAAAAACATTAATTAGCCTAAAATCTATCAGGGTCTAACATTACATCTTAAACCCTTTGGATGGTCTTTTGACTACTCCTTTTGTATCCATAAGCCTTTGTTATTAACATACACCCAGAAAATATAGTTTGGAATCTATACAACATCATTTGATAACCATCTACAATTAAAAAATACATACTGTGGATAGAAAGGAGATATTACTTGCATTATTGCTGCTTCAAAAATGTGAGGAGGGCCCAGTAGCTAAATAAATGCTTCAGCCAGTGCCACCAATATAGGGACCCCAGCTTCAGGTAACAACACAGTTGAGAACTAGCTTTAAACAACAGTTCAACAAGTTGAGGAGGAGCATTACATGGTACTGTTTCAACAGCAAATATTTAAAACTAAATTATTAAAAGTTCTTCTTTTCAAGCTTAACTTTTCAGAAACTTGAGGTTCAAAGCTTCATGCAAATATTTACACATGCATTTGCATGCCTTCTTTGTATATGCAATTAACACAGCTCTATTTGTTAAATGGGCTCATGTAATGAGGAAATGGATGTTTCAACCCATTTGTCTGTACAGCTGTTCAATTTGCATGTGCAGTTGTGGTAAGTGGGCATGCAAAGAAGCCACGCATATTTTGGAGCATCTCAACTTTCTGAAAAATCACATCCTTAATTAAAATATGTGACATTGAGTCTCCATAAAATTAATGTCACGGATGAGATCAGTAATTTTCAGTAACATGGTGCCCTCCATCAGAGAGGCACAACAATGCTTATTTTATACCTAAATATTAATTTCAAAGAGTAATTGCTGTCTTAAATAAAGCAACAAGTAGAAGGGCTTTTCATCATAGGAATTTCATGAGGCTGAATTTGGCAAAAGGGGACCAACTCTTCTGTGATATTTATGTTCATAAGTGCACAAAATACAGTTTAACTGTAGTAAGCTTTACAAGCAGTTAGAAGAGAAACATTACTAATCAGAGTAGTTTAAGAGCTTAAGGTGGGAAAAGAGGATACAGCAAATTAGTTTAGTTACAGTATTTTTTAAATAAAGAACACTTACAACTTTCATAATAGATTTTTCCCATGCTATTGATTTCTGTAACTGCTGAATGCACAGAGCTACCTGTGCAGCACTGCGAGCTTCTGACAATGCCCTTCTCCATACCCTTAGCCCTGGAGCAATATCCTCTTCCATTCTGCATTGAAATATAGAAAAATTAAGCAGGTCACATCCGTGTTTGCTGATCTCTAAACGTGGAACAATCATTATCACATTGAAAGCCAAGCAATGACAAAACATACACAGCCAATAAGTATAAGGTTTAAGCAACTAAATTTGATGTAGTGCACAGACTGTGGCTACGTGCCTCAAAGCTTAGTCACAACCAGTTAAATGTAAGATAACTTTGCGGGATTATCAACAAACATAACAAAAAAATATTTTTACAAAGCACCATGCAGAATAACATGATCCGTATGGATCAGACATACAAGAAGATACATAGATAACAGGCAATAGAAAATAGGCTCCAATTAGCAAAGAAGCACAATAATTTTTCAAGTTAATCTCAATAACCTACCCGTCACCATCACCACTAATGGATGGTGCAGGAGCAGGGACAGTAACTGTGCCCACATTATCCAGTTTGATCTGAATGGTGGTACTTAAGGGGCTCTTCAGATACCTTCGCTCTATGTTCCGCTCCAAGTCAGCAAGTCTGGTTACAGCTATATCTAGAGGGTTGTCACTCTTCCTCTCTAGAGCACTGGTACTGGCTTCTTCTCCTCCAGCACTTTCTCCATCATGCTTCTTGTGCAATTTAGTAATTGACTTATGTTCATAATATACCAGATCTTCCCTCTCTGATGCAGGCTCTGGACATATCCAGCCCTATATTTAATAGAAAGGTTTACATATTTGTTTGCTGCTGTAGTTGGCTAAGTGTGCACATAATGGAAGTGTTTTATAGAATAAACCTAAAATAGTTAGGGTACTATCTTTAGCACATACTGTAGTTGGTCATCAGTTCTTTAAATTCTCTCTCAAAATATTCAAGTATTTAAATAATGAATTCTAAAATATAAGTACAACCACTCTATTAACAGTGTAATCTCTCAGCAACAGCTTTCTCCCTGACAGCCCTCTGAAAACATCAAGCTCCATTAGTCTCTGGGGGCAGATCATCAAAATAGATCAGTCACTCCAGCAGAAAGAATGAACCCAAACCTCAAACATCAGAAGATGATGACCAAAACCCATGCCACAGAGCTAATATCTAACCTTCAACACTACTCCTTCCTAAACAAGAAGGTCCAGACTGCAGACATAAATGTGCTGAGCCTACAATCACATTAAATAACCTCCTAGTTGTATTGGCAGCTGAGAAATCCTGAGCTCTTTCAGACTCACAATCTTCTTGGCCTTTTGGCTAAGATCAAGGTGTAGTTCCACGTAGCATGTACAAAAGGCCCTGTGTATTCCATGATTCTCCAGTCCTCAAAACAAATAAGCGTCAATGCTCTTTTTATGTATTTTAAAGAGCATCAACAAAAAACAAAACATACACAATTTCAGCACAAAGCACTACAAATACATGGCAAAATTAGCCCATTTCCATCAAATCTTTGTAGCTATCAAAATGTGCAGGACTCCATGTGTTATAAGCAAGCATTTTGCGAGGCGGCTACTAAGTGACTTCCTTATCTAAAGATTTAATCGTAACAAAAATAATGCTTATGTGCTTCTTTTATGTTTGAAAAGTAGAAATCATTGCAGCTTCTATGATTATTAATAAAGTCAAATTATACTGGAGTTGTTCTATTTGTGAACCATAAAAGAATAATGAGAAGGTGATTACCCAAGAGTAAAACAACTGTTTGTATCTATTTTAAATTCGTATCAGTTTAGTAAATGCATTTTTAGTGATGGGTTTTACTGGAAGTCAGTTTTACCTTAACTTGCAAACTAGCTGATGCAACTCTCCTTTCTAGATCTTCCACCTGCTGAAGAATAGCCAGATCCATCTCCATCGCTTGCTCTTCTATTGACCAGTTTTCCACAACATCTTGAGTTACCTGGTTTTCCTCATTTTCATTTATTTCAATAATTGCAACTGCATTTGATAATCAAATTGTATTGTTTTATGTTAATGAACACTGTATTTTTTTTTACAAATTTAAAAAGAATCTTGATGTGTTACTTCAATGAAATCTTTCAGAATCATTATATGAATTTACTTGTAAAACATCCAAGATGAATACCTATTTTTTTTAAACTGTAATATCTGGCTTGGGGCCAGATGGAATGAGTCAAGGTGAAGCTGCAGTACATAGCGCAGCAGAAATTCCAGACAGCTCCAAGGGTCACCATAACCTAGTCAGGTCCGCAGGACTAGGTTATGCTACAGGCCTGGGCTGGGAAGCAGCCCAAAATAGAGGCAGCAAAAGTGATTAAAAGGCACGTGTGACATCCTCCCACCAAGGCTGTGTGTTCTTTGTTGCAACTTTTGCGTTAATTTGTTGAGAACTAATCTGGACTGAAGAGTACTCAAACCCACCTCTGTTAAGTATCCTTAAGTCAATTTAATGCATGTAACATTCATAGCAATCACATACCATCCTTATTTTTGATGCAGGCCAGAGTGATGTAATCCATGTGTTTTTGTATTTGCTTCTGTAAGGCCTTTTCTCTTATTCCCCTGAGATGCAGCACTTTAAGCAAAGCTTTTAGGTCTTCTGGGTCAGTAATTCTCCACCACCCATACTGCATTTCTGAATGAAGATAAGTATGCAGATTCTTTACAACATTTTAAAAATGATGCACTAGTACAATCAGATCTATTTATATAAATCTTGCAAATGAGTTTGGATACCTTAGCAGAAGAACTCAACATTTAGACAGTCCCAAAATATTGTTGGATTGTACTTACCTTCTGGTATGGGTTTTGGGCTGGGATAATCTACTGGTTTGGCTACTTCAACTGCTGCAGAGGGAGCAGAAGCTGCTTTTTCAGTTTGTGGTACTGGTGATTCACTTTTACTTGTTGGAACACTAGGTGTCAAGAAGGAATTAGCATTCCCTTCTGATAAACCTAACCCTGATCCAAGACTAGGTAAAGGAGATGAAAATGGAACATTTGAAGTAAGAACTCCTGTAGGCCATCCACAAAACTGAAGTCCCATTATAGGCAATCCGGTCTTCATCTGCTACACCAAAAATATTTAAAAAAAACATTATTACTACAAGTACTAATACAGCAGAATGTAGAATTATGATTAGAGATACCATTATTTTAGGCATAATAAAAACATGAAAGAGGCCTTGACCCTTGGTTTACAGAATCTAAAGTGACAAAAAACATTTAATAACCTTTTCTAGAGTACAGTGAATGTTTAGAAAACTGTTGTTTCTGAATGGTTCAATTTCCTTTATCTTTTTTTGTTTTTCCATTCCACCTACCAATTGCCAGTGCCACAACAAATTATTTGAAATATCATGAACAAGAGGTTAAATATTTTGCTAGTCTAGCAATCTTAATCTGTTTGTGAAACAGTATTCAGCAGCATAAAAAAAATGCTAAAGAGAGAACTACATCCAAACAATAGGTTCTAAAAAATAAGAACAAAGTTACAATTTAAGTGATATCATTGGCCTCTACCACCTTATATGGCGCTTAGTTACCTACCTGAAGCGGTGATAATGCAAAAGGGTTTAATCCAATAGAACTCTGTGCAGAGGCAGAGCTGATAAGAGAGGATGGGACTGGTGAAGGCGATTTTGATGGAGGATGTGAATGAGGAGTTAGTGTAGAAGAAGCAGCTGGTGTATCTGTATTGGTAACTGAGGTGTCATCACATGGTATCCTTGGTAAAAGGCTGAACCACTGTCTGCTCTTTTCTGTAAGAGTCTTTAACAACTGGTCATTTGAAACTAATGGAGAATTGTAAAACTTCCCTGACCCACTTGCAATGGGATTAAAAAGATTACTAGGATCTGATTTTTCAGTGCCGCTTTGTGAAACAGTGGGCTGAAGGCTGCAGAGAGAGTTTTTGGAGTTATTTGGATAAGACAACATGCACCCATTTGCTGCACTGCCACTGGGTTTTTGGGACAAAATATCAGATTCAGGTGGCATTTTTGCTACCTCCAAGAGTTTGCTTAGCTTTGAAAAAGAGCCAGGCTTCTGTAAAAATAGATTAGTGTTGTCCTTTTCCTTAAGATCTTCCTTTTGCTCACAGTGAGTTGTACTTAAACAGTTTAATTTTTCCTCTGAGGTCTCAAACATCTCTTCTTTGATATGTATGCTTTCTGCATTTTTTAACTTCTCTTTCTCTTTTGCAATTTCTTCTAGACCTACAAAATTGAAAAACTGTAAACTTAAATATCACAAAACAAGGAACTAATTATACCACTCCCATAATAACTTTTATATACAGAGTAACTCTATCATCCACTTCCTTCCACTCTAAATTGCAATATTTCAAGAACTCTATCATATAGAGAAGTAAAGCTGGGAGGGACCTAACTTGTTTCTGAACAGTTTGTAAAAGGACACAGAAATATTCAATGTCCTATGCTGCATGACTGCATACAGATTCAAACTTTATTAAGCACCATGGTGAAATCCAGGCCTCAGTGAAATTAATTTTGCCATTGCTGACTTCAAAAGGGCCAGAATTCTGCCCAGACATTCGTAAAAAAAACACTGTAACTTGCATGCAGAATCTTTAAAATTTGAAGCAGTCTATCAGTGCTAATTTCTTTTGAAAGGACAAGACTTTCGTAGTTTTGTTCTTGGAAAAACACTAGTGGCTACAGAATTATTAACAAGTCACACATTTGTACCAATAAAGTGTATATTCTTTATGTTTATATAAAAGCTGTTTCCCCAAATTCACACTCATCTAGCCAGGGACTGAGAGGGAGGAGGGAGGGAAAGAAATCTTAGCTTATAGATCAGATGTCTCCCAAAGATGAATCAGGACATTTTCTGCTTTTTTATAATTAAAGACATTAAAGCAGACTGGACATGAGCATTTATGTCAGCTTAAATTTACTGCACAGTAAACAGGAATAGGTCAGCATCTACATGCGCAGGCATTAAAGCGCATTAATACTGTGCTTGGACTCACTTGGACCTAAAGTTAGTCCCAAGTCAGTCCACACACAGTGTTACTTCATAGTACAGCATCTACATGTGCATTACTGCACGGTACCTAATTGGGCGTAAATTTGATACCTGCATGATGAAGGTATCAAATTTACACGCAAATTGCCATAAGTTGCCATATTTACTGCACAGTACAGGTGTGCATGTGTAGACATGCTCACACTGCACAGTAATTTTGGTTACTGAGCAGTAAATGCGCACACGTAGACTCATCCACTGTGAATTTTAGTTCCAGAGGCTGGTTGCTTTTACTTTTTAATCTTCATCTAAAATGAGCTAAAATAAGCGATATGAGCTAGGGATGGACAGATAAACAAATTAAAATACAAAATCAATGTGCTTAGCACCCAGGTCAGTCTTCAATATCTTTTAGACTAAGAGGTTTATCTTTTATAAATGGGGTAAAAGTCATTGTGGCTTTCTTCTCTACCATTCTCCCTTTAATTGTCTGCCTTTTTTTTTTTTTTTTTTTTTGCTTTTTTTTTTTTTTTTTTTTTAGCCTTTATTAGTATGTGTCAATATCCATTAGTAAGAATCTTCCATAAGAAAAGAATGAAAGGGAAATGTGGCAGAGAAGGGGGAGGAGGGAGGAGGCAGGTACTTGGCATGGAAGCCATTTGTTTGCTTAGTTTCTGCATCAGTTAGTGCAGCTGCACAATTACAGATAAGTAGGGGTCCTGTTTATAGTCTGTGGCTGGTAACACCTGCAGAGGTTGTTTGCACATTTTTCAAAACCAGAATTATTTCAACAGGGGAAAAAAAAACACAAAAGCATGGGAAAATTAACTGCCTTAATTTTGTATTGTTCTTTTTGAATTTTTAAGGTGTCCACCACTGGTACTGAGTTTGGTACCAAAACTTGGATTTTTCTAAATGAAAAAGCTTCTTAAGAAGGAAGGATTTATGATAATTGGGCAGATGGCTCATTGGTCAATACCTCATGTTTCAAATACCTAGACACAGAAATCAAAGGTTCCAATCTCAGATGTTCAGCTTGCCAACATGGATTAACTTGACTATTATGCAAGTTACTGAACAGGAGAAAATGGGTTCTAGGGAAAAAAAGGGAGCAAACTTCTTACATGAGACCTCTGGGTTTTCTGCAGGGAGTTTAACCATCCTTCAACAGTACTTATAGCAGGGACACTTGCATACAGCCAGCAGGCTGGATCCATGTCAGGGAGCCTCTATCTGGCCCACTGGGCAACATGAAGTTGGAATGCATGGGTGGGGGAAGTGGCCTGTCACAGAATCAGGGGCCTTGGGTACTGCTGGATGTTATGTTTGGCAGCAGGAGAGTGAGTGAAGGATGATACAGCCTCAGTTCCCCTCAAACAGCTTGGCCCATCATCAATGCTGTAGCCCTAGCTTCCTGGATGCCAATCCTGCCACTGCCCCATGCAGATGCTGCCATGTGCCCTGTGCTGGAGCTGAAGCTGCCACCACACCATGGAGCATGGGGTGGCAGTAGCAGCTCTGGCACAGGGCATGTGGCAGGAGCTGGAGCTGCTGCTGCATACCCTATGCTGGAGCTGGAGCAGCTGCCACATGGTCTGGGCTAGAACCACTCAAGATCCAGCCTAGAGCCTATACTGAGGCTTTCCCCACTCATACATTTGTCCCGGTAAACTTCACCAGAGAAGTAAATGTGTTAGTTTCTCAAGCATTTGAAGATCCTATAGGCCCATGGTGGCCAAACTGCAGCTCTCCAGAAATTGGCCTAAGCCCTGCCCACTTCTCCTGGGACTACCAGCTCAGGTGCCCAGGGTGGGGGCTTCAGCCATGCCACTTACCCTGGGGTGTGCTCCCTGCAGGGAAAACCAGAGCAGCTCAGCACTGTGGTGGGAGGGGAGGAGGGAGGGTCACTTCTACTCTGGGTCACTCAGCCCCCCACTCCCTTCCTCCTTCCCCAGTCTCCTGCTCTTGAACTTCTGTGGAAGATCGGAAGTGGCTCACAAGGTGAGTAATTCTGGCCACCCCTGCTATAGGCTACAACACCCTTATACCACAGCATTTTTTATAAATTTAAGTCATTTTGGAAACTGGGAAATGAAATAAATGCACAACAGTTCCTAACATCTAATCTCATGCAACTTTTAGTATCTATTTATGTGCAAAAAATTCTTAATATACCGCATAATACAATGATGGAATGAATGGATATTTAGAAGAATGTGCCTTCAGAAAATATATAAAAGTATGCTGCTTCTGGGATCAGGAGTAGATTTAGGCTAGGCTTTGTTGTTCAGATGTGAGTCAGGTTTAACTTGGTACCAAAGTCTTTGAGGATGTTTTTATTAGATCTTTCCATGGATTGACCTCTCCATGGAATCTTGTGAGTTCAGTTATTCTTGGGAGACTTTTTGCCATGTTAGGCTGAACTCTTAGGAAATTAATAATTTCTTGCTGCATCCAAATCAGAACTGGAAAATGTATCTGTTCTAGAACCAAAAGCATAGGATTAGGTCCGTCTATGGAAAATCTATTGGGAATTGCTGAAAATTCAAATAGAACTGGATGTGAGATTCTGGATTGGTTTATCTTGAAAAAAAAAAAAAGTGTGATTATAGTCAGTATGTACCCATGACAAAGAGCAAAGACTATTTTCGTTTTAATGAAATTGACTTCAAAGCCCCCTCAGTTGGAATGCAGTGTGTAAAAAAGAACATAAAACTACACTGTAGATTAGAAAATAAAGTATTGTTTTAGCAGAGAATTAGGAAGGCATTATTTTATGGCAAAACAATTGTGTTCAATTTTATTTCACACACACACACAAACACAGAAACATTTGTATATATAAAATCTGTAAGCATATAATAAGTTGAAATATTTGCATAAACACTGAAATAAATGAAAATGGTTAAAAAGAAGTGCTTTTTCATGAATTTTATAGTCAGTCTAAACATTGTCACAGGAAATGGAGACAAATAGATCAGAAAGATGAAAAAGAACCTGAATATTAAGATTAAAAATATAACTCAGGGACCTCACTAGCTACATCAAAAATTATCTTGAAACCTTCTGTTTCAAGAGGTAAATTAACAGATTGAGCAATAGAAATAAATTTATCTTAGCCTCATCAAATAACACTGTACAAATAGATAGATCTGTTGTGGAGTTTTTATCCTTCTGAAAATACAGGCCATTACTAGAAATGCAGATAGGTTAAATTAACCTGTGCTAAACTCTGGTATGGCCATTTCTAGAATTACTGTTTCATGTTTCTTACCTTCACCACTTTCCATGCCCTCCACAAAAATACCCCCACACTGGGGTAGAATCCAATATCGACGTCTATAACGATCCTGACCAAACATCATTGAACGTAAAGAGTGAGAAGCTTCAAACAATTTTTTTCTGTACTGGCTTTGCTGCTGTATAGAAAAAAGGGCATTATAATTCAGTGGGGGAAAAAAATCAATTGTTACCATTTAAAACATCTCTTCAATGCTAGACAAAAACAACGGTTCATGAACCATCTGAGCATGCTGTTTTTGGGACATTCCACTCCTTTTGCTAGCCTGATTATTTTATTTAAAGAGCAAAATTGGCTTTAAATAATCAATTCAAGTATTCCTAGATTCATCTTATATGTATCAGCTTTACTTGAAGGATGAATTCTGAAGTGACATGTTCCACCTTTTACTACCAACTTTCATTGAACAACAGCCTCAATGATTTTATTGTACAAGAAAAGCTCAAATCCTATCAATTATGCAATACAGCAAATGGCATATGGAGGGCTGAAGCTAGCCAGAGCAGTGAGACATATTGTAGCTCCTGATGAGACTCTAATGAGATATTTCAATTGGTTCACAAAGCAATCAGTTCAGAAATATCTGCAGATAGAGCCTGTCTTCAAACATAAAGAGGTCTCTGGGAGGGGGGCAGTCTAACACAAATATCAGTTAGTTTACCCACTCCTTACTCCACTAAACTAGCACTTTTGGAAGCAGTGTATCATCCTGAATTGCCAGTTTATTGCAGCTGGCACCAGGAAAAAAGTAGCAGCAAAGCTAGGCAGGATGAATTTGCTAATAAACAGATGTAAGCTTTTTGATAAAAGCAGCAGAGTCCAAATACAGCAGAATCTTCAGCATTCTATTTTCCATATCTACCAATCAACTTTTTTTCTTTTTATCCTACTTGATTACTTAATTCCATCAGACAGGTGGAAGGTTGGAACCTGATTAACTATAAGTAAACGCACCAGAGAAATGCTAGGGGCTAGGGACAGAAGTTACACATAAACCGATTTAAGCGATCAGAAACTGGTTTAAGCCTGTAACAGAACATAAGTTCAGTGCACATAAACCAGTTTCAAAATGGCCAAAACTGGTTTAAGACAAACTGGCTGAATGTAGTATCAGACTTAACTGATTTGGGTCAAACCGGTTTATGCAACTTCTGTCCCAGACCCCTTCCTGATTTAAGTTAAGCCAGAGTCCTCCAGCATCCCAACATGCTCTCTGAGCTGGGCTGCGCTCCCTGCTCCGGAGAACAGGGCTGGCCCTGTCCCTCTGCCTGAGCAGTGGTGGGGACGTGGTGAGACACCAGCTGGCATGGTCCCATTAAGACAAAGTGAGCAGGAAGGGGGTTAATTCTTCTTTCCTTCCCCCAACACAGCTGGGCTCTGTCTGTCTGTCAAGGAGTGGCAGAGACTGAGGCGGTGGCGGGGGCTGGCAGTCCCCAGCTGTGGGGCAGAAGGGATAGAGGCAGGGACAGATTATGACATGTTGGGGTCTTAAGCTAGGGGTTCCCAACCTTTCTATGCTGCGGCCCAGCAAACTGCGGACCAGAAGCAGCAGCAGCCCGGAAAACTGCGGACCACCACGCAGAGCCCCGCAGCTGGAATTTCTGGCCAGAACACAAGTAAAAATACTTCCACTCCCTGGGCAGGAGGGCAGATCCAAACCTCAACCATGGCTGCCATGGGTCCTGTGGGAGGAGTTGGCCCCTCTGCCTGGCTCTGCAGGGCCGTGGTTTGCCAGTCCGCAGTCACTTCTGGTCCGGCAGCCAACCCTTCGCAGCCCGGGGTATGGTTTAGACGCCCCTCATAATGTGAGGCCCTAAGCTGAAGCTTACTTAGCTTATGCCTAAATCTGGCAAAGGTGGAGGGAGCAATTAACCCCCTCCCTGCCCCTTTCACCTGTAACAGGGCCATGGCGAGACAGCATCTGGCCACATCCTGCCACTGGAGCAGCGAGTGGATGGGGAGGGGCAGCAACCTTTGTCAGGGTACCCAGAAGGGGGTTTAGTCCCCACTCCCTTCCCTGTCCCACCAGCAGGGACTGCAGCCATTCTGACACGGCCCCATTAAGGCTAAGTGGGCAGGGAGGGGATTAATTCCCCCCCTCCCAGTGGGGGACTGCAGCTCGGGTGGAGCAGCCCCCGGCCTCTCTGTTCCCTGCAGGGTGGGGAGGGGAGCTGTGCAGGGCTGCCCAGCCCCATAAGGGACTCTCCCCACTGCTCCTCCCCACCCTGTGCGTGGGGAGGGGAGCTCTGTTCGATGCTGTGGGGGGAACTCTTCCTCCCTCCTCCTCTTTCTCCACCACTGTGGGGTGGGGAGGGGGACTGTGCAGCGCTGCCCAGCCTGGGCACAGGAAGTGACTGTTACTGAGCCACAGCCACCAGGGATGGCCCCCCCCTGTGGCCCAGGTCAGCTTCACTGAGGCAGCCATATAATGGGGCCAGGCTGGGCCGTAGGAGTGGGGCCATCTGTAGTGGTTGCAGCTCACTGATGGGGAGGCTGAACCCTGTCAGTGAGCGTAGGCGGGCCTCATAAGAGCATGCACAGGCAGTGGCTGGCCAGGCAGCAGGCTACCCAGATCGCCTTGGAGGCATTGCAGAGGCTTGTGGGTCTGCAGCAAGCCCCTGCAGCAGGCTGCTGGGTTCCAGGCCTACTGGCACCTCTGAGCCACCCCAGGTAGCCCACTGCTCGGCCAGTTGCTGCCCACATGCACCAGGCCAGGCTGCACTCACTGACAGGGCTCAGCCCCTGTCACTCAGCCACAGATACTGTGGATGGCCCTGCCCCTGCAGCTGTCTCCGCCAGGACTCAGCAGGGCCGGCCCAGGCTGTGGGTGCGGGGCCATCCCTGGCAGCTGTGGCTCAGTGACAGTCACTCCCTGTACCCAGACTGAGCCAGGCTAGGCAGCGCCGCACAGAGCTCTCAGTCCCCACCCTGTGGTGGCCGGGGGAGGAGGAGGATGGGGGAAAGTCCCCCTCCAGCACTGAACAGAGCCCCCTCCCCACTCTGTGGAGCTGCTGGGGCAGTCAGAGCTCTTCCCTCCTCCTCCTCTGCCACAGGGGTCTGGCCACACTCCCTCTTGCCCCACCCTCTGAACCCTGTAGGCCAAGGTAGGGGTTTAAACCCCTCCTCAGTCTTACACAGGCCTAAAAGTGCCTGGCTATGCCCCCTCCCCCTTCAGCTCAGCTTCCCAGTGAAAGGGAAGGGAGGGCTGCTCTAGCCCCCTGGGCTTCTGGCTTGAGCCACTGCAGGCATATGCCTGCATTTCCAGAATGAAAAGGGAAAGTCTATCCACTTGCAAACTGGTTCAGTCTTTGCAGGTTAGATTAATTGATTGAAAGACTGAATCAATTCAGGCTTCTTGAATGTTTGTCCCTAGCCGGGGGGATGATCATTTGGAAAGAAATAAAGTTAGGAAATCAAGCAAGTACTTGGAGAATAGGAGGAAAGGTAGTATCTCAAAGAATAAGGTGCCTTTGTGAAAGAAACTCATTCCTAGACACAGACACGGGAGAAAGACAGACTTATTCTATCATTGTTACTGACACATGCTATAGGAGATAAACAATGAGATGCACAATCAATACCAGTAACCTACAACATAAAAAACGATTATATCCCTAGCTATACCATAGCTTAAAAATTCTTCTTTGCAAATATTGTTAACCATCAGAGTTTAAGTTCTTTCTGTAACAACTTCTTTTAACTGCAACTGAATATTTAAGTAAGTACTTTTTGTTGGGCTGTAGGATACATTTTTATTATTTATTTTTAGTATAAGAGCCAAGTTTTTAAAAATGTTAATCACCACTTTCCCAAAATCAACAAACTGCAGGCATAACAGTAAGACACCAAATTTTTAACATTTTTTTTTCTATTGAACTATATTTGTGTGGAAATTAGGGCTGTCAGTTAATCAGTTATCGTACGTGATTAACGCAAAAACAAATTAACACATTAATTTTTTTAATCGCATTAATTGCGCACATTGTTTTGACTAGCAGAGTGGACCAACTCTGGACTAGTGGGAACCTGTGAACACAGCCCCACCCCAGCCCACCCTGTGCCTGCTCCAGACTCACCTGCCCACACTGAGCAGCAGAAGATGCTACTCAGCACAGGGAAAAAATGGCCCCTCTCCCTGACCAATGCGGGGCTGTTTTTCCTGCAGCTGCCCAGAGACCTTGTCTGGGTTGCCCTGCAGTTCTTCTCTTCTGCCATCACCACCAACTCCAGGCCACCCAGTGGGGCAGTGGTGGCACTGCAGAGGAGCTGCAGGGCAGCCTGGGCATGGACTCAGGGTGGCCGTAGCAAGAAGGCCCAACAGCGGTGAGAGGGAGAAGCCGTTTTTCCTCCACGCAGCAGCTTCTTCCTGGCCACTGCCAATGCTCAGTGTGGTCAACTGGAGTTTGGAGCCGCCATGGGGCGGGCCGGGTCAGGGCTGTTCAGACAGGTTCTGGTTGGTCTGCTCCAGCCAGGGCAAGTCCAGAGCAGGCATGGGACAGGATGGGGTTGGGGCAGGGACTATGTGCTGTTTGTGGTGGCAGGGAGTTAACACAGGGTGCATGGGCTCTGGGCTGTTGTGGTGGGGTGCTGACTATTGTTTAACTGTGCAATTAAAATTGTGATTAAATTGCAGCTATTTTTAATCTTAAAATTAATTGTAATTCATTTTTTTTAATAATTATCCAGCCCTAGTGGAAATATCAACAGCAGTTCTGCAGGTCTCCTTTGAGTCTAAAACCTTACTATACCAGATCCTCAACCTCAGTTTAAATTCCCAATGTTCTAAGTGACCCAGCCACTTAGGACAAACACCAATACCAGTTGGTTAAATGTTTGCCCTCGTGCCCTTTATCTGAATGTGGATCACCAAGGCAACTATTTACATTCTAGTTCACAGCACTGAATGAGCAAATTTCTTTAAAAATAATAAAGCTAAAATTGATGGAAATCTCTCACCTTAGTCAGTTTTTCAATCTGTTTCTCTAGCTCTTCAACACTTGCTGTTTGGTCCCCATCATCCTACAACCAAGAAATACATTATGATAGTATATTTCAGGACATCAGGCTTGTGTAACTTACCACTTATACAGTAGAATGATTTGTGTAATGAAAGTAGTATCAAACCTGTGAGGCAAATTCTACACTAGGCCACATGGATGCAACTCCAATGGACTAAGTGTGTGCATCCATCTGAGGGCAGAAGATAGAAATCTACAGGAAGTATGCTTGGCTACGTGAAATATAACAGAAGAATAATTCTTTACTTCCTTTAATGCATAATGAAGTCAGAGGCCTATGAGCATTTTTGTGTTCTGAGCATCAGCCATCATTCTTGCAACCTCTCTAAACTAGTACCCAGTCTGGTGCCTCACCTGCCTACTCTTAGTTATGCTACTGAATAAAGTAGCCATGAAGTCCCACACATATGCATGCAGGGAGAGTGGCTGGCCAACTGACTTTGTTGAAAATGCCCTTTTACTGGAACAAGTAATTCAATTTTCAGGTTAATACTTAAAACTATGTAATCTAGTCATTTAGATTTGAAAAAGTTTGGTGTTCTTTTAAAGTTCACTTTTAAATATTTTACCCCCATTAAATAATGGAGTCTGTCAGAATCTGATTGATTAGTCTTTGGAAAATGAGAGCTTGACTCGTGTCTACAGTCACAAGAAACTGCAAAGTCACTTTAAATGATAAATCTGGTATGAGAAATACCAGTTCTCCTCTTATTGATTCTTAAAGAGCATTTCTAGGATTAAAATTTATAGCTTTCTAATTCTGCTTGATGAAATTACAGCTAAATATAAGGATAATTTCCAGAATGAGATTTCTAATTTAGTTCCATGAGCCCTCTGAGAACTATAGTAAAGTTTCAAAAGAGGGCTATCAGATTCCAGGGAGGTCTTAATTACTCCTTGCCCCAAAGTAGAAAACAGTAGTCTCTGTCATGCAATTCTCTGTGTGAAACTATGTACATATACACGACTAATTAAAAAGCAAAACTGAAATCGCAGTTGAATTCAGGAGTTTATATAATGGTGCCTCAATAACTATGCCAAGGAGGTTGTGGGGAAGTGGCCATTATGCACAGAAATAAGTTTTCACTAATCTGTAAAATAATTGTTTCCCCCTTGTGTGAAGTTCTGCTTGTACTTCTTGGCTCAACAAAGGCATTCCAGGAGGCAGCATTCGGAAACACCACACATACCCTGGTCTGCAATGGAATGTGTTATCCCAGAAAGGGACAGCACACAGATCTTTACCAAACTAGGAAGTAATAAGCTTTTTCCACAAAAGATTAAAAAAAAAAAAAAAGAACAGTTTTTTTTTTAATTCTATTTTCAGGATTAGATTTTTTTAAAGGTTCATTCTTTTTGCTTATGGAGCCACTAATGTACAAAAATTTTTAGATAGTATATCTTCAATTCAAGGGCAGGATGATTAAATCCCAATTCTATGCAAATAAAATCCAGAAATGTAGCAAGGAGGCCTGTTCTCTAAACTAAAGTTTAGTTTCTGTTTAAAAAGTTTAGTTTGCATATAAAGCATTAACCACCCCCAAAAAACCCCTGCAAAGTACTGTAGGTGAAGGAATATTTCCACTTTTAGTTTGGTAAACTGACACACAGAAATGAAGTGATTTGTTGGAGGCCAAACAGCAACTTAGTGTAAAAGCCAGTACTAGATTTTAATATTTCTTGCATCTTTTCCCTGGCTTTATCCATTAGACCAGGGGTAGGTAGTCCTTGGCACGGATGCCAGAGCATGGCACACACAGGCATGTTGCTTGACATGCATGCCTTGGGATAGACAGCGGGGAAGAAGCCAAGGCTATGATGCCACAATAAGGATCAGGTCCCTCGCAACTCTCCTGCTGTCTGCCCCTGGCACACCAACGTCTTACAAGTTGAGATTGTGGGTGTTTTTGGCACTCTGCCCAAAAACGTTGGCAACCCCTGCATTAGACCATGTTGATGGACTTGTGTGGCTTAAGAGAGTCTGTGGGATTCCTATAAAAGGTTATTTGACTGTAACAAAGGCAGCTCAGTTTAATAAGCCAATAAAAAGTTTTAATGACCCGCTTTCTCCTTTATTAAAATTTAAGGGAAGGCAATCAAGTAGACAGAGTAAAATAGGAAAAGACCCTTCTTTTATTCACACCAGCCTGGAGAATTTGTGAAGACTTAAGTTCTACTGTCACACCTTACACCTCAATTTTACAGTAGCTATTATTTCCTATTCATGGTAATTCTATTATTAAGTTAAAATTATCCTGCTAATTAACACAACTTTTTCACTCTCCACTTTGTGAAAGCTACTTTCTTATTTATTGGCTAAAAACCTTTGGCTTTCTAGGTCTAATATAATCTTTTTTCCTCCTAGAAGAGTGTACATCAGACAGTAGGAAGGTAGTCTTGCGAGAATTGGGAAAATAATGACTAAGCCAAAGCAAATGAACCAAAAAAGGCAAGGATACCTGTCTACTTTAGCTAAAGAATAAAGAAAAATAGTGCCTGGCGGGCAATCTTAAAAAAAGAAAAGAAAAGGAAGTGGCACATTCACTTCTCACACAACATTAGCAGTTAGGTGTACAAACATGATTCACAATATAAACCCAGAGATTTCAAATAGAAATCCATAGTATTAAAAGCATTCTGAGCTGTTATGGTCCTTCTTATAGTTCTTTGCAACAGAAAAATTGTTCTATTATTTTTCTGTCATCAAAAAATGAGTAAAAACTAAGCTGGTATTTTCTGATAGGTGCATCACATCTAAAAAGGTTGAGAACAACTAGTTTAAACTTAAAGGAATCTGAAAGTTATCTGATAAATTATTATCCACCTCATCTTCACAGACTTCAGTCTTCTTTCCCTTTTTTTCATCTTTATCCTCTTCATCCTCCTCATCCTCATCTGCTTGATCATCACTATCATCATCGTCGTCATCATCATAATCACTGTCTCCTCCCTTCCGTCTCCGTTTGCGGCCTGGCGTGGGTGTTTCCAATGAATGCTGTTCTTCTCCTATATCACCTCCTACTACAGCATCTCTTTTGCCAGTTTTCTTAGCATGAATGATTCTAAGCCTTTAAACATGATAAGCAAATGAAAGTATTGACTGTTGTTACAGGTTACACATATTCTTATCTGTATCATTGCAACATACACTGCTCATTTAGGTCTCAAATTTACTTCTGTCTTGCCGCAATCTTCTGTTGTCTCATTGTTTATTGCCACTGACTAACACATGAAAAATTCAGGCTATAGAGAATTTCATATAGTATTCTGGCCTTTTAAAACATCTTCAGTTCTGCCTGCAAGGTGAATTTTATTGAACAACACTGAACTCCTGTATAAAAGACATGCAGGACAAGAGTAATTTTAAACAGCCAGTCCTATAAGCTAGAGAGCAAGACTCCGCTTCAGTTTCTCTCCTCTTGTAAGTTCTCCTTTATTTTATACACGTGTTTGAAGAGCCCACTCAGAAACATGCGTCTGGGAGAAATGAGAGCTGCTACAATGAAACAGACAAAGAAAATAGCTTTACAAGTACTAATGTTAACACTGATAGGGTGATGATAAACTTGACCTTTGATTCTGTAATTTAAAGTAAGAACCTACCTAAGAGTATTTATTCTACTTTTTAGATTAGTCATTGTGCTGAAGTTAATCTTTTCACATTCTAGGCACAACTTTCTCTCTCTCTGAGGACTGTTAACTGGCTAAACAAGGGGTGCTCAACCTCCAGACCGTGGGCCAAATGCAGCTTGAAGAGCCATTGGATCTAGCCTGTGGGGCACCCCACAAGCCAAGAAATTTGGTGGCAGGGGAGCAGTGACCACTAACATGGCCACACTCCCTCCTGCAAAATATCCAAACCCCAAGCCCCATGTACCTGGTCCAAGCCAGGCTTTGCCCCCTTCCCCCTGTGGGGCCAGGTGAGGCTGAGCCACACCACCTTTCCCCCTACAAAAGAAAACAGTAGTCTCTGGGGCCGAACCAAACCCCCTTTCCCCCATGCCCCTTCCTCCCCCTGCAGGGCTGGGCCATACCTTTTCCCCCCCATGAGGCTGGGCCATGCCTCCTCCTCCCCTGTGGGGCCAGGTCAGGGTGGGCCCCTCCCCATTTTTCTCCACTGGGCTGGGCTGGAGCTGGCCATGCCCCCTAACCTCCACAGAGTCATGTCCCCTTCACCTCCCTGACTGGATCACACTGCTACCCACCCCCACTTCTG